TTGCAGTCTTTCTTTTTTTTTTGTTCGTTGTCATTATTTACAGGGGTTTAATAATGTTCTTTTCTTCTACTTTTGTGAGCAATGGAGGAACAAGGGAATAAGGTACGGAAGCCGTTGGATTGAAAAGTTAACACTGTGAAAATAGTACAATACATAAACGCATGTATTTCATGTTATCTTGACATATCGACATATTAACACATTAATATAATAAATAATAACAAATGGTAACAACAATTAATAACAATGACCTTTGTACTCTAAGGTGGACCGCTTCTATTGTTTTCGAATTCATTATGATAAATCAAACAGGAAACATTATGGGGAGATATGATTTGTTTAGAGTTATGTCTTGGGCAAAGTAAGTAGGCAAACCACTCACCCATATCCCCCCTCCTCCTCCACCTTTCCTTTTTTGTTTTTGACAGGTGCCCACCTACCTCATTGTGAATTGATTAGATAAGCACATCTTTGAGTACCTTGGTCACTAATGATATTTAAAAAAATGATCCGACTTTTGTCGAAGTCGAACGGTTCGAATGGTTCTTCACCTTTGTTTTGCCATTCCTTGTCGACCACTACCTCATTCCACACATACACATTCATACACACGCACACTTAAGCATACACATACACACATATTCTCTCTCTCTCTCTCTCTCTCTCTCATGCACAGGCGCATGGAATGTGTTCAGTATTATGTTATGATTTTCGCTTGTGAAGTGTGTGCTGTTTGACACATACAGAGTGTGTGAATTGCCTGTAACAATATTATATGCTTACAAGTATCCAGAGAAGCCTTTGTCCCACGGCTCAAACTGTAGTCATAATTTATTTATGTTGTGTGTTTTTCCCTAGTACAGGGTCCCCACCAGGTCGGGAAATCGGGAAAAAGTCGGGAATTTTGATATGGGTCGGGAGGTCGGGAAAGAGTCTGGAATTTTGTGATGGGTCGGTATGTCGGGAAAGGATAGGGCCTGTGTAATATTAGTAGTGTAGCTATCGAGACAGTAAGGTTGATGAATCATGAAGAGGAAACGTAATTGAACCACTATGGCGGCAGACGGAAGTGTATGTGTGACACCGAGGCTCGATCGGGAAGAATCAAAACATTTCGCTTTCGTTACCACCCAGAAATGTTCCGGTAATAGTCTGATAGATAACGCTACATTTGTAACATGCAGGTTGTGCGTTACGAACACTGTGCCTTGAAAATAATTCAATATTAAAAAT